TGCATAGCTTTATTCTATAGCTACATGTTCCTTTGCCTCCCTGTGTCTGTGCTACTGAAAATAGCTTCATGTAATTGGTGGAGAATGTCTGGCCCAGTATTGATCTGTCTAGTCTTAATAGCCAGAATAAAATTATCCCACAGTGTTTTCTGCGGGTTAGATTTCACAGGGGGTTTGGGCACACATTACAACAATAACTAACAGCGCCTTTACAGATTGATGGTAAACAAAGGGTTTTTTGTAGTTCATATGAAAAGAGCTGCTTTTGTTGGAGTCTGCTGCGGTAACATCCTGTTCTAGTCATTTCTCTTCTTTGTGTAATTAAATGAAGTGTCGTGATTTCATTTGACATCATGCGGCGTGCTGTGACTAACTTAATGCGTTACTGTATGAATCATCCGCAGATGTTTTTAATGAGGGATCCCAAGAATATCCTAAAGCAAATGCAGGCTTTTGTATAACTTTTCTTTACTTCTAAATATGATGATCAAATGGCCAACTTGTGAAATGAAAATTCTAACAGTTGAGGGTCCGTCACCTGCTTGTTTCTATGGATATGTCATTGCTCTGCCTGGAATGTTCCACAGTATGACATTAAACAGCTCTACCTTGCATTTATTAAATTATGGATTGTTTTATAGATCAAAAATACTTTAAAAAAACAGGCATTCTGAAGTATTGCCATAGATCAGACATGTCAAACTCACGATATAACTACATTTTGGCCTGCGAGATCATATCAAACGTGTATTACAACCTGCTCGCCGGCTACAGAGACATTATTTATTTAAAATTTTCTTATTATTTTATATTATTCTTGTTCTGGATTCAGTGTTTATGCAAGACTATTATTAAACATTTATTTTTATAAGAAAATGGTTTAACATTACATATCTCAAAAAAAGAGAAAACATGCAGATCTTGAAATTTTTCAGTAAATATTTAGTTTGCCTAACGACTTTGTCCCAGTTTTTAATTTTGGCCCTCTGTGAATTTGAGATTGACATCCCTGCCATAGAGCATACCTAATCCCCAGTTGTGAAGCATAGGATGGAAGTAGTATCTGATCCTTACTGCTCATTTTGTCTCCCGGGGACCGTAGGTTCCTTTATTCATGTATGTGAATGTCCAGCAATTCAGGAAGTTTGGGGGAAAGTGGTGAACTACCTTAGTGCATTAATAGAAGTCAATCTACCATTGAATCCAGCAGTACACATTTTGTACGATGACTCACAAATATCTCTTCAGGTCTCTCAGAAGCTAAGAAAATTATAGCTCAAAGATGGAAGGGTAATGATGTGTCATTTACTCATTGTTTTATGGACATTGCTTACATGGAACTATCTTCAGCACGGATTAATAATGCAGCACCTAATACAACTGAACTATGGACTCAACTAATAAAAGATCTGGAAAAAGTAGTTTCAAAATGATACTTGATTCACTCTATTAGCACAGTATATATTTGTCATATCAATATATAGCTGGGATGGTTAGGGGAGGGAGGGGAGGGGGAAGTCGAGTTAACCATTTCTAACGAAAAATAAGAAGAACCAACAGTTACTGATATATCTAATTTAGTGTATATTGTGTATTGTTCTTAATTTAAAAAAATATGATTTAAAAAAAAACAGACATTTTGACTGTGAGCCGAGAAAAGCATTTGACGGACTCTCCACCAGAAATGTTACATAATGCACCTTTGAAGTGATATTTTTTATTGATGACACCAGCTAGGTCACAATAATTACTATACCAACTTATTGTTCTACAGTATATATCAAACCTAGAACAATCTACTTTGAGGCTCAGTATTTATCGTGTGTACATTTTCTTGCAATAGTGGTGAAATTTTAGTTGTTTTTGTTGTAATACGATAAGATTTGAGCTATACAAGTTGAATAAGTACATTTTATGGCAAATTATTGTTTCATTCTGTTATTTATTTGTTGTTTTGTCTATTTAAAGAAACGTTCTCTGGGGTAGTCCTGCTTTATTGTTATTGTGACAGAGAAATAACGTAGTTTTAATTTCCGTTTATCACAATATTTCTCTGTGGCAATATATTCTGCTTCCAAATTTGTTATCATGACAGATAGAAACAACACTGAAATTTGGAATGTAAAGATATAAACATATTCTGTTATCCAGTGTCTTGTCTCACATGCATTTCCCCATTAAACATTTAAGTATTTTTGCATTTCCAGTCTCAATATCATCTGGCCCAGAGGAGAAACAGGAGAGCACTGAATCTGTTTTTTATTTGCAGAATTATATTGTATTGTAAAGGGCAAATTGGTTGTACTTGGCTGCCATATGTACGCGCTTAATCCTTCAGGCTAAATACTATGTGCAAACACTAAAAATAGCCCTTTTAGCTACAGCAGCACAAGTGTGATGATGAGGAGAATGGTGATGAAGAGGAATAGCTATAGGAAAAGGGGACATTTAGCACACGAGGAAAACGTTATGCCAGGTGGTTTCATGTTGGAAAACCTCAAAGCAAATTGTGAATGAAGGTGGATAGCTGATTTTATTGTAGTTCAGCATCTGGCAACATCATTTTAGTCTTATTGTATTTTGGAGGGTGGACTATAAACAATTGCTCACTGATGTTAATGTTACCTTCCACTTCCAGTTCTTAAAGGTGCACTGTGTAACTTTCTGGGAGAAGGGTTTGCCTCCTGCTTGTCTCTGTGGTGATATTATTACTTTCTCTGGAGTATTCCACAGTATGGCATTAAACGTATCTTGCATTCATTTAATTAAAGTTGTTTTAATTGCTCAAAAATACCTTGAAATCCATGCGTTCTTACAGAGAGTGTGGTCACCTTTCCATAGATCTGGCCTGTAAATTATCTTGATGGAGTCACATGCTTTTATGGAAATGGCTGAGTCTCATACCATATTGTGACACATTCCAGGCAAAATAATACCATTGAAACAAGTAGTGAGCGGTAGCGAGGCGGGTGCCATCTAGTGCCTGAGCTCAGTTTAATTTCTCTCCAGCAACTAGGTCAGCAATTGAAATACACTAGATGGTTTGCAAGAACCCTGGAAGTCGTAGACCACACACTGGCCAATCAGTGAAGAGCTGTGAAATGCCTGTCTGGGTCCCTTTTGTGGTACAGCACAACAGTAAACAAAGCGGTCAAGTTGGATGTAGACGAAGCCATACATTCTGTGTTGGCAACGATTCCCAAGATCAAGGATTTAAAGCTGGAACAAAGAGAATGTTTGGTGAATTTTATCAAGGGGAAAGATGTTACATCACGACCAAATAGCAGCGAATGAATTCTGCCATCGCACGAACAAATTCTATTGCTGCCAGGTCAGACAGTTTCCACAAAGTGAAACTGGCTGATAAATCAGGCTAAGTGAGCGGACCCTCCACCAGGAAAGTTACAAAGTGCACCTTTAAGAGCAGAAAGAAGCAATGTGTGGAAAGAGTTAGAAAAGTGCTGTGCAATTGTCTAGCAGATTACTTGCAAATGTAGCATGTTTGAATGAAAAAATGTTTATAACAAATGTATGTATTAGGGCTGTCAAAAGTAGTATCGACACTAGATACTCATTTGAAAAAGTATCGATAAAAAAGAAAACTATGACAAAATGGTGTTTTTGCTTGATCAGAACTAGTATAAGTCCACATGGTAACATTAAAGAAAATACTATTATTTTGAGTGGAAAATAACATGATATTGCCTAAAAAACTTGTTTAGACGTGATTATTAGCATTATGACAATATTACTATGTGCTTAGAACAAGAGGCACTTGAGGCCAGACCACAAACGTAACTTTATATCACAGGAGTAAATACATTGTAGAACTCAGACTGTGTTTGTGGTCAGGGATACATTTCCATAGAGGTTTCCAAAGAAGGATGCAAAATCATGGACATCTGGAATAAAACGACCGTAACTCAATAATAAGACGCCATATTCAGATATTCAGAACTTGATACAGTAGCACTATAGTTTATGATCAGAGTCACGTAGATCAAAAGGCAGGAGGTAGCCCTATCATTACAGCTGTATCTCTGCCCCTGTCTCACCAGCACTGACTCCTCTCTCCCTGCTCACTTCCTCTCACAAAGCTTAACATCATGAACACTGCTCCCTCAGGCTTTCATCTAACAGCAGAACATACACGCACACACGCATGCACACACAAACACACGCACACACCTCCTCACAGCGAGCAGAAAGCCAGGTCCGGACGGTAAAATGAGCTGATGGGCAAGAGACAGCCAATCCGATAAAGGAGATAAATTGACCAGGCTAGAGAAGATGACACAGAGAGAGAGAGTGGGTGCTTTCTGATTCTCAGGGGGACTATGTGCAGCGGGACCTTAGTGTTCACCTGTGTATGTGTGTGTGTCTGCTCAGGAGCGCCCCCACAGGCTCGTCACGTATCTGGACGCTGAAGTGTGAGACCACAGTGGAGTGAAGACAGAGAGGCAGAGTATTGATTAGAAGGGGCTTAGTGGAGAGTGAGGTCGGGAGTGGTCTGAGTGTAGCATGAAAAGAATGGATGTTAAAGTGAGAGATGTGGTGAAGTTATTCTTGGAAGTAGATGCTGAAATGTTTTTGTTATTTTACAAACCTCACTGCAAAGTCATTTTACAAATTGGTTCACTACACTAATGAGGCACTGGGTTGTTGCGTTTTTTCAGGGAAGCTGTTAGTTGTTTTGTATTCAAGAGAATGCAACAGAAATGTCTGGAACCTGTCTCGAATTTTTTTCATACATTTAAAAAATACGAAAAACAGTCCTCCACCAACAACAACAAGCAAGAACTATACTTTAAAAGTTATTTTAGAATATAGCACAGTCTACAACTCTTGACAGGTTGCCCCAGTGACATTGAAAGACGGGTCAAATGCACAGAGAGCACATTTTCTTATAGAGAGACAACATAATATTCAGAATAAATGGTGGAAAAGTAAAGCAGTACTCACAGATTATTTTAAACATGTGATATCTGTTGTGTTTGCAGTGGAGCTGGAGGCTGACCACGCGCAGAGGGTTCCGGGGGCGGAGCCAGGTGGAGTCCCGCCCACTCAGGTCAAACTCAAAGAGAGGCAGAAGTTTTTCGAAGAGGCGTTTCAACAGGATATGGAGCAGTACCTGTCCACGGGCTACCTGCAGATCACAGAGAGGCGAGGTGAGCTCCACAGCGCCACCTACAGTTCACTCATGAAGCCCTTCTCTGTTTTGAATTGTGAATGTCATCATTGTCTTCTTATGGAATGAAATGCTTTACTGCTGTGTAGAGGCCAGAATGTGCACTAAGGATGGGCCCAAATGAGAGAGCAGAAGAGAGACCCAAACCACAGGGATCTGCTTTAGACTGCACACACCATATTTCTTCCCCTCCTCATTTCTCCTCCTGCCTTAATCCTGTGGAAAGGGCTTATTAGTGGAGGAGACAGGGCCAGAGATTTATAGAGGGACTTATTTTGTCCGTGTGGCGTTTCTAAGAGTCTCCAGTGGAGGTCTGCAGCATCCACAGCTCATTATCCGCCTGTGTCTAATGCAAAGTGTGTTTACAATGAGACTCCTCTCTTCAAATCATGTCGTTCAAACTGAAGCCTTCTCACTACAAATGCAAATCTCCATTTTAAAAAACAAAGTGCGTAGTTCAGTTAGTTCTTTTTCGTGGGATTTAGATTTTCATTAAAGATACACAATGTAACTTTCCTAGAGGGGGGTCTGTCAGCTGTTTGTCTCATTGGAGATGTTATTGCTATTCCTAAAATGTTCCACAGTATGACATTAAGCTTATTTGTCTAGTATTTATTCCATTTTAGGTCAAAAAATATATCTATATCTATCTATCTACATGTGTTCTTCCCGGTGGCAAAACCTGCCTGTCTCCATGATGACTGAAAGCTATTCTGTGGAATATTCCAAAGCAATAACATCTCCATGATATAAGCAGGTGGTGGCCTGTCCTCTAGAAAAGTTGAAGAGTAAACCATAGCATCAAAAGATTATAGATTTGATGTGAAAGTTGACAACATACAAGAGCTGTCCGGCAAAGCACCAGTTTATAAAAAGAAGGAGAGACATTGAAGTGAAAAGTCAAAGAAGAAGCCACTGTGCGTTTAAAGAACCAGCCCCGAGGGACTTGAACTGACTGTCACACTCACTGACTCTTCCTCCACTGGACCCTCACAGCAGGAGCTTTTAGACAAGGTCATGGAAGGCTAAAGAAGAACTGGAGAAAGACAAGGCACAGCTATGGCGTTCAAGACAAGGCTCTATTTTTATCATGCAGTAGAGAGATACTTCATTTAAAGAGCCCGTATTACACGATTTTCTGATCTATGTTATAATGTGTCCTTATCACTAACAGACCTGGAGTTGTGTTTTGTTTCTTTCACACACAAACCCTGCATATTTAGGCACATATTTTCCTCAAACAGAAAACACTTCCACCTTGTGATTTTATGTTATAATACAGAAAGTGCTCCACTGTGTTTTTAAACTCCATAGACCTTCGCTAAAATCATGTGGACTTGGAATTGCCAACCTCTACTGAAATAAAGGTAAAAGGTGACTGTTAACTTGAGAGCTATCACTATATGACATCACAAGGTGGAACAAAGCATTTTAAGCTTTAGAGATGTAGACAGACTAATAATTCAGAGCTACTCAAACATGTAAATGAAACAAAACACAACTCCAGGTATGTTTTTGAGTAGGTATCGACATTATAACATGGCTTAATTCTCACAATAGTCAATTTTGTGTAATGTAGGACCTTTAATTCAGAGGTGAATGGTTAGTTCTGTTCACTGTCCTGCTCACTGAGAAGTCATTAGCAGTTTAAATGAGTGTTGGTGCTGCTACTACTGAGGTTTGTTATGAAAAAGCGAATTTCTATTTATTTCTTTTTCTATTCTGTCAAAATATAACATTAATTTTGTCTGCATAAGATACTTTTATTTAATTAATAGGGCTGGGCAATATGGAGATAAAAATTGAATCTGGGTCTGATCTTGTGACACTTTAGTGTGATTGTCAAATTGTGATTCAGTGCTTCTCTGTTTAATGCAGTTCTAGGCTCAAACACACACACTTTCCCCCACGCTCTCCTCTTATTGATCAGCCTCGGCCAAATTCTGAATGAGTGACAGGTGGATTTAACCAATTACAAAGTGTAAACTCTCAGAAGCAGTAGATGGCTTTAGTTAATAACTAAATAAATACTTAATTTATCTCAGCTCTAAAAAGTTCTGATATGATTGTACTCACTCTACTTTTACAACAGTGTTACTCCTCCCTCGCCAAATGACATGTTTCAAGAACCTATGAAAAAAATGTTAAAAGTTCTGACATGTTTGTGTTGTGTTGATGGGAAGTAACTCTCCCATATTGTCTTTTCTGTGTTTTTTCTTTTCTCTCTACTGCTATTCTACCCTTTTTATGCTGCCCTTCTCTGCTCTCCTCATTTCCTTGAGGTATGGTAGCCAATGGCATCCCTCCTCACCGCTCTGTGCCAACCAATCATCTCCCTTTGTCCTGCCCCATGCCCTGCCCCTCCTGCTTTGTTCCCCTCTTCATAGTGCACTGGCTTGTGACGCATGTGGCACATTCTGCAAGGCTGTGATTCCATATTCTGTGAATGATAAATTATCAACATATAACACCCTGATAACATGCTAATAACATTGTAATAACACTAGCTTAAGTTGGAATAGTTGGACTTTCCCGGTGCTTTGTCTCTTTTCCCAGTCTGAACCCACTAACCTTTTAAACTTTGCATTCGAAGTGTTTTTGAAAGGACTGTCTAGTGCCTGGATTTTGAGTACCATTTAGGTACTACAAAATATATTAACATTTTAACCCTGCTCATAATAAGGCCATTAGTGTCAAGGACTTCTCCTAATTTGACATGAACACTAACTAACTCACTAACTCTGGAGATCAGGCAGTTTTGGTGGTCATCTCTCAACTTGCTACACGTGCTTCTGCTTCCACAGCTTTGTTTACACTATTGTTTATGCTGCTAGCACAATGTGTCGTGTAATGCTTACACTGTGTTGTGCTGTGGGACCCTCAGAGCCAATAGGAAGCATGTCGTCCATGGAGGTGAACGTGGACATGCTGGAGCAGATGGACCTGATGGACATGTCTGACCACGAGGCTCTCGACGTGTTTCTGCACTCAGGAGGAGAGGACAACAGTGCAGCCTCACCTGTCGCAGGTACAACCCCGCACAGCCTCCACACCTCATACCGTGTGTTCATAAACGACTTTGACCCACAATGGAAAAAATTGCAGCAACAAAGTGCTGAAACAGAAGCAGTAGTAAGTATATGATTTGAAGTGGGTGTTTAATAGCTACTCTTGCTGACATGAGTCTCTTGACCATGATATATATTTGGTGATTATTGTTGTTTTCTTACTTTATCTGAAAGCCTATCTTTTTTTTTTTTTTTACCAGTACCCATAAGTAAATAAAAGCTGTATTATCAGAACTTTTTTATGAAGTCCCATACTATAATGTGGGCTGTTAGAGCGACCCCTGCAGTCCTGTGATGCGTTGCAGTATGTGCCCACAGGTCCTGATGTGGAGTCTTTCACCACAGAGATCAGCCTGCAGGTGCCCACACAAGCAGAGCTGCGCCACAAGCTCTGCTCCCTCTCCTCCACCTGCACCGACTCGGCCAGCCAGGACACAGAGGCAGGAGAGGAGGATGAGGAGGATGAAGAGGAGCAGGACGGGGGCAGCAGAAGACCCCCTGTGGTGGTGACTCTGGACGATGAGGAGGTGCATCCCGATACTGCACTGATGGACCGGGACGATCACCATGACGACCAGAGCAGCAGTAGTAAAAACTCGACAGGAAGCCGGCCGAAAGTTTGAGCATTAAAATGGACAAAAGAGCTGCCAAACACACACAAACACTACATACATACAAGTACCATAAGTTTGCACTTTCGGCCACATGACCATCAGGACACAGTGAAATTCCAACACATTTTTATCCATTCCCGTAGACAGTAAATTATAAATGGCACTGGCTGAGTCCCTTGCAAGAAATTGACACATATTCAAGTATTCTTGGTGTCAGTTTAACAAGAGTCTGGTGTCCCCATCTATATATTAATTTTGGAACAACATTTAGTTATCAGAAGAATTTTAGGCATCATTCATTCCGCTGAAGTAATGATAAATATAGTGCAATTGTGGAAAACCTCAAAGCCATTTCACATGTTTCATACTTGAAAGAGGTTATGTTGACCAAATGATGTAGTTACTGTGCGATGTGTGGCCTGCCTAAAAGTGAGAAGTACTGATGAACTACATGATGCCATTGTGTGGACCGTCACCCTGGGGTGGAGCTCCTCTTTACCAAATGGACTAAACTCCTGAGACTGTGTGCTATGCACTGGACATAAGCAAGGCTGAACCTCTCCTGTTTTGGTACTGACATGTCGACGTGTGTGTGATGTGACAACCATGACCCTTGACCTCAGTTTTTTCCCTGCAGTCCTTAACTTGGTAGTAAACGTTTGTTTTAAAAATCATCTAAATACTGGGGAATGGTGTGTGGAGGACTTTCGGATCTGTGCGCTGAAAGAAACACTTTTCTGTTTGGGAAATAATTTATCAGTGAATATGAATTATTAGGATTAATGTTTTTGGACTGAAAAATAATGAAAAGCAATATCAGTGTTTTACTGAGAGTAAATGACTTTTAAAGTGGAGCGTTGAGTGCTTTTTTTGGCCATAATGAAACATTAAATATTTATATTATATATGAAATGCATCTTATAATATTAAGAGTCAGAAAAAGTAGAGAGTGACAGTGAATTGTCAGTCAGTTTTTATTAAACCTTAAGTACAAACTCCAAAAGTAAAAAACTGTCAAATATAACCAACATGAGTCTTTCCAAGTGGAGGGAAAGGCCGAGAGCCGGCACTAATAAATAAAGTCACCAGAGACCCCACTGTGAGTAGTTGATATTGTAGAAAATGGAAGAAACAACAGAAATGTGATCAGAACAAAAGGATCCGTCAGAATAAAATATATTGTAAGGCCATAAAAACTTGACAACCACTTTTTTGTGTTGAAAACACCCGACTTGGTTTATCATTAAATAGTCCTAAAACAGTTCAGTCTTCTGCCAGGGACAAACAACCAACAAACGGGATTATAGGATTTCCTTGACAGTCACCACTGGCAAGCTCAGTGCAACATGAGTAGCTACTACATTTGTGTGGAATTTTCAGTAATGAAAATGTAAAATCCTTTTTTTTTTCTCAACTCTTCATCTCTTTTTCCCTTTTCTTTAAAAAAGTAAAGCTAAACAAAGAAAACTAGAATGGGGGCAGTCATTGGCTACTCAATATCTTCTTTCTTAGTGATATAAGCAGCACTTAAATTTTTATACATGTTTACCAGAGCAACCCTGTAAGCTTGAACTCACACGGATGAAGAAAGGGAAATGTAAGGCTTTTTCTTCATCAAGCACTCTCTTCAAAACTCTCCTTCTGTTCTGTCTTACCCCAGGAAAAGGCTCAAGTATTTAAAGACATTTACAGGATTATGTACATGATGTTTTGTTTGTGTCGGACTTTTCCTTGTTCTAAAATCACTCATAATAAATCTGGAGAAGGGAAACAATATTCAAAGAAAACAAAAAGCGCAAAAACAAGAAAAAATGGATTTGATATTTCACATTTTACACTCTTGTCTAGTGGCTCTACTTGAGATAACACATCAGATCAAAGGTAAAAAACACAAAATAATATAATATAATAATAATAATTCATGTTTACTGGTACAGATGAAACAAGAGGACTGGAAGAATGGAATGTTAACACGATTGCACATCTAGAATCAGAAACGCCTGAAAGCCTTTCTGCCCTGTGGGACGGGAGCACGCCAGCATTATCCACTACGATTAGCCGCTAGCAGGCGCCTGCTCCCAGATTTTAACTTGTGTTGTTATACAGTAATTATAACCAACAGCACCATTAAGTATGGATCTCCTCGCTACACATCAGGCACAATTTCATTCACTAGCGAAGGAGGGTCCCTCCACACGAACAGGAAGTAAGGTGAACTCCACCTCTGCCCCCTTCACATCCTCCACTCAACAGAAAAAAATACATAGACAATATTTTGCAAAACAAAACTAGCAAAAGCTAAAAATACAAAATAGAAAAAACAATAGCCAAACAATAAAACCAACAGTCTGTCTTTCAAGTTTTTACCTTGCATCACCAAGCCTCCACTTTAAACATGGGAGATGCATTAAGGACAAATAAAAGCAATCTTCTTCCTCAGACAAGGACAAAAAGAGACATTGGGTAACTGTGTAATGTCACTTTCAGAAACAAGTGGGATTAAAGGCCTCCTTTTTCTGTAGTCCCATTTTCACAGTAACGTGATGAGAAGGAGACGCCAGGAGGGGGCGCTGTGATGCAAAAACAAGGGCTCCAATGGATCCCTTTTCAGTGGGATTGACGTCCACCTGAGGTCTTCCTGTGAACTCATTAATGCTTGTGATGCTAATAAAACTAATTTAAGGGTTTGGGGAAATCTAAAAACATCAAGAATAAAACTTCTTTCACACTAGTGCAAAAAGACATCTTGCTTAAATTTTTTCTACAAACAAAGCTGTCAGACTAAGAGGACAAGAGTGTCTCTTGGAAGGGAGGGACAGTGACTTTGAAAGCCTTAAAACGACAGGTTTTAAATATGTGATGATTGATAGTGATCCTGTATATGCCACAAACAAAGGGTGGAGGTGGTGGAGGGGCTCTCAGGACACAGCTGCTGCTTTGGGCAGGTGGCTAGACGACAGGCGGGACAAGGACACCTCCACAGTGGCACGTTTCCGGGGTCCACGCTTGGCCGGCGATGCTTTGGCAGGACTCAAGCCGTTACAGGGGTCACCCACTCCCACTCCGCTCACCACAAGATTAGCACCTCCACTTTTCAACATTGCCCGACCACACACCTGGTTCACCAGACTGTTGATTTGATCCTACGTGGAAAAGACAAAAAGATTCATTCAATTCATTATATTACAGTAGCTAATTTACATTACAAACACATAATGTTGAAGAATGTGGTGGGTGTCTGTTGCCAATGTGCTAAGATTTACCAAAGAGTATGTAGGAAATACTGACATGCCAGGCATGAATATTATAGGCACTTGTCTCCCTCTTGTGGAGAAAGAAAGAACTGCACGTTGATTTTCACTAGTGAGAAGCAGGAGGCAGTTTACCTCGTCATATCGATACATCATCTTGAGACCTCTGCATGACTTGTGCTTCTCCACATAACGCAGAGCACACTCCAGGCAAAAGACCACATTCTCTGTCTCCTGGACCACCTAGACACAACAGCACATCTTCTCAAACACACATCAAACATAAATCAATCCTAAGGCTATTTTAAGGGCACTAAGGGGAATAAGAAAGTAAGAGTATAGTGACATGCTAAGCACTCTGTAAGATGAACTTTACAGTAAAAGCGCCTCATAGGAACTCACCATAGACAGGTAGCAGAGATGCTGGCAGATCTGGCAGCGTCTCTCCGAGGACTCCAGTGCTAGCCACTTGCCGCGGGGTTTCTTGCGGGCCTCGGTGGGCCCCAGGCTGCTGTCATGGGTGCCATAGCGGGCTGACGACAGTAGACCTGCCTTGTAAAGTTCCTGCCGTTGGCGCATCTCTATATTCCTGTAACAAGATGAATAATACGCTTCATACAGAGCTGATCTGAGAGCATATCCCATCCTTAAGATGATGTATGAATAAGTGTGAACATGGGCAGTGTACCTGAGGTCTTTGAGAAGGGCGGAGATGGTGGAGAGGAGAAGGCCATTGTCCCTCTTGGACTCTGCTGTGGCGATCTGGTACAGTAGCTTCTCCATGGAGAAGGGTTTGGCTATACGACGACACTTCAGGTCCTATGCACATAAGAATCCTTTTTTTAAAAGATGTGCTTCCTATAGTGAAGACTAGTCCAGTCTCGTCTTCATTATAGCAAAATGTTCATTTAAGTCAACTGGGCAAACTTCAGTTCAGTCACCTAAAATTTGACAATATGTTCTGACTTGACATACAGTATATTGTTTGGGACTGGATCTGAGGATGAAGTAAATGCTTGACATCTTAAGACTACACTCTCAAACCATCTCTTCTTTACAAAGGTCACAACCTCACTATCACTACTGTAAAGACAGAATGTTAGCACTTTTAAAATACCGGCACTATTGTGGAATTGTATCAAAATGAATAGCTATAGATATCTCTATATATATTATATATCTATAGATATATTATATATCTATATCTGTCTATTTATTCATTCATTCATTTAAAAAAAGCACCATTATTTTCTGGCTTTTAAGAGTCCACAGAGCACACAATATGACTAGTTACTGAATATGTGGACATTGCGACGATGTACATAAGTACATTAGTAATGAACATAACAGCAGGGTACAATTCCCTCTTCTGTGTTAAGGCCATAATGAGGTCTGGAGGGTTTTTCGTGATCACCAAACATCTAAACTCTTCCTCTGGGGAGACCACTGCAATTACTCCCTAAGCTTCAGCTCAGTTGATTAAGGGATAATGCTGCAGTCCTTTCATCGGCAGGTTCTTACATTATAGTTTGGACAGAGCCAGCCACAGGGGGTTAGTGTTGAAGCACTAACAGAGTAATGAGAGGCCTGACCTTTGCAGCTTGGTAGCCCAGGTTCATCCAGTGTGGCGTGGCAAAGTAGACCGTCTCCGACACGCTGTATCCGCAGCACACTTTAGAAACAAAGGCACCAGGGAAGCAGACCACAAACTGACCACTCCTCTGGACTGTACGGTAAACCTTGATGCCTTCACGGCAGAGCACCTCTGGAGAGATCTGCCATCAAACACATGTGTTAATCATATATATTTATGTATACAGTACATATATAAATGGCACAACTGCACTGAGACACTGACCATAATATTCTTCTCCAGCATTTCTAATCCTGGAGTGCCATTGGCCTTAAGCAGTGTATGGACCACTTTGTCCAGCTTTGCCTTTTCCTCAGCAGGGATAGAATACCTGGGAGAACATGTGTTAGAAGCATCTTCGATGATCCTCTAAAAACCTCCTCTAAAAAGTAGGTCTTGTACACTTACCAAATGCAATCAGCACCAGTGTGTAAGTAATCAATATATGGAAGGCGGTTTTGGTCTCGAGACCAGCATGAGGTAGAAAAAACCATGCCAATGTTTAGCCAGGGAATGGTCACCCCTATAGACCAAGAAGAAAATGAATTTAAACATTCAACGGCATCAGTAACTTACATCATGTGGGACAAGAGTCTCACCAGGCACAGCACCAAGATGTCTCAGAATGGATCCCGAATTATTAGGGAGGACAGTGAGGTTCCATCCATGTCTGAGGATAGAAAAGATAATATTTTAACACATCTTCAGCTCAGGCAGATGTTACAAAATGTACAAAATGCTTACTTGGAAAACGGCTCTGACTTTCCAGTGGGAAAACCACTCCCATGTGTACTGGTGTCCACCTTCCCACAATGCACTGCCACATGACTGTCCCTTTGTTCGACTATCCGCCAGTACTCTTGCTGCAGGAGACAAAAGCCAGGTGAGATGAGTGGACAGCAGTTAAAAATGTAAGTACACTACTTTGTAAACATTAGGAGTTATCAAAAGCTCGTGACACTAACCTCAACATCAGCAGCTCCCGGCTCCTTGTTAAAGCACATGGTCATAGTGTTCCGGGCTATCCTGAAGAAGTTTGTCAACGACACAGATTTCCCCTGCAAAAATAAAAATAAAAATTGCTCAAAAGTATGCCCACAGTGCATTACAAACAAAGCAACATTGACCAAATGTTGGATCATCAACAAGATGTCCACAAATCTGCTGCATCAGTTTCCTCAGTGAGTTTACATTTGACCCTCTTGTGTTCCTAAAGTCACTTTGAAGGAGACCATAAATCTCAGTGCTCTGGGCCCAAAGATAAATGACCCGAGTGCTACATAACCTTGTCTTTGCTGAATCAATGCCACAAACTTTATAAATCATTTTATCCTTTAAGGTGAGCATCTCATTTTATAAAAGTGACCACTCTGAAAATGATAATTTCTCCTTCAAGGCAGTAGAATAAAGACAAGCAATGACAACACAATTCTTTTTTAAAGCCCGTAGTGGTACTTTTGTCTGACCCTTTCCTTTGTATTTAGAACCAATTATACACTTGACTAGTGCTGATCCCTCAGTCGTAAAGTGAAATAAAACCTGCTGATGTGCTGTGTTTAGAAAAGGCTAGTCAGGTCTCTTCACAGGCTGTAGAATAGCACACAGAGGGGCAGATACTGACAATGTTTGTGGACTCAGAGAAGACGAGTCCAGATTTAGTTTACAAAAAGGGTAAATAAATAGGGTCCAGGTTTACTTCTGTGATGTGTGAGGAAAACAGGACTATCAAACTTTCTATTTGGATATTTGGTTTGTCTAAGGAGAGGAGAAGGGGGCTTAGGAAACAAAAAAAGGACCTGTTGAATGGAACAGGCCGATTTAGGGCCAGAATTTTGCCTGACCTACATTTGAGTGAGCCAGAAAACACAGCTGCGTGCAGGCTGACGGGTTGTACAGCTGAGCGACAGCACACAGTAAGGCTTAACAAAAACAAATGCACATACACTACATAGACTATGTAGGGACTAACGGGCTTTTGCGCTCTATACAGTTTCATGTAGGCTTGCTGACCTTGTTGATACATTTGTGCTGGTCGCCAAGGACCCCCTCATGCTCGTCCTGCTCATCCCCGTGCTGCTGCTTGTCATCTTTGCCTTGTTTTTCCTGAGCGAAGAGCCGGCGCCGGCCCACTTTGACCTGAGCCTCCAGCTCCTTCAGAGGGTGGTACACTCCATTGGTGCGAGCGTGAGCGGCCCCACCCACCAGGCCACCCACCAGCCCATTCTTGGGCTCATATCGGGGCAGAGCCAGAGCGCTGGGAGCAGAGGAATCTGATAAGCCCTCCAGAGGACCTTTGCGAGACTCCAGGCCCTTCTTCTCCAGCACAACATCAGCCTGCAGCTGCAGACGCTCCTCTGCGCTCAGGGAGTCATAGGACAGCAGGTACTGCAGGTACGCCTCCTGTAGCTTGGCCAGGCGGTCCTGTGCAGACTTAGGGATACGCAGCAGGTCGGCTAGCTTGGTCCATTTCTTAAGGTCCATCACTTGCTGCATGCCACCCATGTCATTTATAAGCTGGAAAAATCGAGCCAAATCCACTTCACATCCACCTGCAGAATAAAACACAGCGTTGACTGTGGAGGACCTAAAATTTGTATCTAAGCTATTGTATTTACTATTTATTTATTTATTTATACTTTTTACTTCTAATTTGTAACTAATTTCTGACTTAATAAATAAAACAAAAGAAAACAAATGAACAGACATAACTATGATTTCAAAGATGACTCACCTATGACGGGTGGCTCCTCCATGGTGATGCCCTGAGATTTGAGGTGTTTGCGGATGCAGGCCAGGCGCTGGACATTGGGCCCCCAGCGGCGTCCCAACATGTGGACCCTCTGCACCTGTGTGACAAAACGCATCTCCTCGCTCAGTTTACACTCTGGCCTCCAATCAGGAGGGGGCATTATGCGGCACATGCCCGCCCCCTCAGCCTGTTCCCGCACAGTGTCCAGGTACACCAGTGGGTCCTGGAACTCCCGGGGGGCCGGTCTGAAAATGGGAGCCTGTTCCAGCTCTGCCCAGCCATCCGTTCTGCTCCTCTGCCTGTCCCACTCCTTCTCCTGCTCGCGCTCCTTCTGCCGCGTCATCTCCTTCTCGCGCTCCCACTCCTTGTCCCGGTCCGGCCGTGGTCCGCCCGCTTTGAGGGGGCCGTTAGAGAGCAGCGGGGAGGCAGAGGCAGGGCCAGTGGAGGTGCGCTGGGGGTCTGAGGTAGTGCTGAGGTTTGGGGTCTGATTGTGACTGGAGGGCGAGGACGAGCTGGAGCTGCGGTTGTGAGAGCGGCTCAGCTGCTGCTGGGCTTGGCGGATGAGCATGAGTTTACCAGCGGAGGCCCTCTTGGGCCGCTGGTTGAGCACCTCTGTGTTGGCTGCCGGTGTAGTGGGAGGGGTCTGTTTTGGGGGCGGGCTCTGTTTGGGAGGTGTACTCTGTTTAGGAGCGGGAGGTTTTGCGGGTGGAGGTTTGGAAGATTCCGGGGGGTCAGGGGAGCTTTGTGAAGGAGCTGCTTCTTTTATATGTCCATTAGTGAGCGGTGTGGTGGGGGCCACAGTGAGTGTGACAGCCTTGTCCTGATGGAGCACCTTTTTACTGCTGCTGCGCGTCTCCAGAGGCGTGGCCTGAAGCTTGACCTTTTTGGCGTCTATGATGGGAGACTTGGGTCCGGTCTCGAGAGCATGTAGGACCACTTCCAGACGCCGTTTGGAGTTCCGCAGCCCCTCTCGTCCGGCACATTCCACCTGGCTCTGCTGGGACAGTTTTTGGCTGTCCTCCTTGGACAGCATGTTGTGCCGCTGGCCGTTGAGTCGACCGTTGAGGCGGGTGCTGGCGTTGTGCAGCCCGTTTGATAATAGCACCTGTTTTCGTGTTTTTGCATTGCTGAGAGGGGCTGGTGCGGCGGCTTTTCCTGAGTGGGCCAGCGGGGGGCTGGCTGCTGGCTGGCTGTGCTGATTGTGATTGTTCGCTGACGATGCGGGGGAGGCGCTGCTGAGTTTGGTTTTCTTGCCCAGTTCTCTCTGTTTGGCTTTGGTGTAGGTGACGTGGCCCTTGGACACGGTGGCTGTGTACTTCTTCACAGTTTTGGACGGCAGTCGGAAGTCACGGCTCTTTTTGGCACCACCACCAACAGCTTGTGCTGATCCGCTCCGTGTCAGCCCATTCAGTTTAGTGACCTGTGAAAGAGAAAGAGATTTGGAATGTTTTACTTTAAATGTCAACAGGTCCAAAGGAGCGGTTTAAACAACAATGAAATAGTGTTATTAAATTATGTCATTATATCATTCAGACCTACAAAAAAAAAATCATAAACTCAAATGTATTGTCTCTGTAAACAGTCCATGTGAAATAAACAGATAATAAACAGGGAAAACCAAAATCACTACATTCAAAAGATAAACAACGGGCTGGAAAACGAAGCCTGTGTGTCCGTGGAGCAGGCTGACGGCCGCCCCATGGCAGATGGCTGGACAGTGTGAGGGAGGTGGGGTCAGTGGAATTAAATCTCATCCAGGCACATAAAAACAGGCCTTTATTTGCTTTGGGGTTGGTTAGGGGCTATAATTACATTTGTGTTCTATAAATAAAAGGGCCATGAGTGGGCTCCTGGAGCAGACAGAGGCAGAGGCTCTGTACAGTGGTGTCTGGTTCTAGGGCTGGCTCTGACTGCAGCTGTGGCAGCCTCAGCAGAACTCCAGCACTTCTAACCTATAGCTCTTTTAGCTCATACAAGTATCTAAAGAGTGATGTCTTTGTGATATTGGTTTATTCTCGAAGAGCATTAGTAGTACTAGAAATTTGAGTGGCTGGGGTTTTGGCCATCCAAATATTACACAGTTTATTTATTATATTTGTGTTTTCTTTAAGTGTGCTACATATTCACATAGACATGAAATGCAAAATTACAAACAATCAAGTGTTAATGTTGGCACAAATTTATCAATAACTTAATGTAATCAATATATAGCTAGCCAGGTCCGGGCATCTCCAAACAGCAGCTCAAGAAGGTATGCTTATTGTCATAATATCATGGTTGAACAGAATATTACAGTGAATATGCAGAACATGCTTTCTCTAAACCCAGAGCAGCAGGAAGTACAATGTGGCAAGGAAGAGCTGCAGACAGACTGGATGGAGTTATCAATCACATCTGGGGCGCCACAGCAGTGAGGTGACCGCAGGGCCATTGACAGGCTGGACCTTTGAAGGCCTCTCGTGTCACACTTAGAGCTTGTGTGTGTGTGTGTGCGTATGTGTGTGTGCCTAATGTATTGTATTGTGTTCAGCTCAGGTGGTGGGGCGATCACACAAAGAACAGCCCATTAAAAGATAAGGGGGGGACTGAAACCTAACCCTGCCACCGTCAATCATTGCCACCTTCTTAATCCAGCGCACTTCTGTTCACAATGGAAAAACACAGGGGGCCAATAGAGAGAAAATAGTTGATGAATAGAATGTACTGAACTGTACAGTCGTGTAAAGGTGCACTACGTAACTTTTATGGTGGAGGATACACTATGTGCTTTTTTAAGGAGATAATATTGTTTTGCCTGAAATGTTCAACAGAAAGCCATTAAACTCATCTCCATCAAGCCAAACAAGTGACACCACCAGGTCAAGTTATTGGTCAAATCTGTGGAGTCGTGACCCCTCAAATTGTAAAAATAATAATAATTTTAAAAAACATGCACAGAAATTTGCGATATGAAATTTAAATAGAGAATTTCAGAGACTGTAATTTTTTCAGATAAAATATACAAATAAATTTGCTTATTACTGTATGCTGCAGAATTCAAATTCCTATGTTTCAGTCAATACAGAAATTTCAATGTGAGTGTAGCTGTAGTGGAAACTGAAGGAGCAACTTACTAGCCTAACTGCTAAATTTGGCTGGACAGTTTGCTGACATGGCGGGATATTTGAGCTCATGCTATCCCCACTTCTGCCACAAGAGGGCTCTGTTCACTGGAGAGGGGCACTCAGTCAGTGTCCCCCTCTGACTCGGAGTTATTTGTTATGGTGGAATATAGGACAGGAAGAGAGATAAGTGCACGGGAGGCAGAGAAAAAGTGGTTGTGCAAGGACAAGCTGGAAACGGAACAAGAAACATGAATTTGACAGTCGGCTATGAGTTTGAACTGACAGCATATAAACAATAGTGAGGAAAAAGGAGGACAATGAGGAAAAGGAAAAACTAGAGCACACTGGCAGACAGCGGAGACAGTTCTGGAGTGGATTTCGGTCACACGTGAGCAGGGAGGAGGAGGAGGAGGGGGTGAGGAAGAGGTGGGAGGGTCCTAATGACATCATGTGTTGCTATAGCCCAGCTGAGGTCTGGCAGGAAGACTTTAACAGCAACATCTGCAGCACAGAGAAGACCAGCACGAGGACAAAAGAAAGGCTTTAACTATTCAAACTCTACAGGGGAAACTGGGAGTAGATCTGAAAATCTGAACGTTTTAGCTAAAGAAGAGCAAAGATACTTTTGGTACTGATCAAGCCACAACAAATGTTTCTCATACTGAAAGGAAAACGCAGCTGGATTTTTACAAAAGTACCAAAACAAGTTAAGCAGAAACACTTGAAGCACTGGTCACACTGTGCTGTAAACTTGTACAAATAGTTTGGGGTAGTACTAATTTGTTTTAATCAGATAAACTATTTTGTGTTCTGATTAGACATAACTGTGACCATGTAAAAGTTCCTATGACACTCAGCACTGGTGTAATAGCAGTGCCTATAGAGGAGCTATAGGAGGGTCATTTTCAATGCGGCACACCTCAGAGTTGAAGCATAAATCTGGTTTAAGCCTTCATTCCTCTCTTCCATCTTATTATGGAGAGAGCAGCCTTGGGCAGATTGACTCTTATAAAGCAGAGAAAGGTCAGCATAGCCTTGCATAATTTCATATTCACTATTGAACTTGCAAAAAGACGCATGAAAATGTGGACAGTTTGATTTGGCCCTTTTGTTTTAAGTTATTGTTTTAATAAATAAAAACATAAAAGCTATTGCTAAATCATAAGCCCAAACTGAGTCTACTTGAACTAACCTATGGAAATGGACAGATTTATCTTGTTTTATGAAAAGTCATCTTAAGATGCATCGCACTTTGTTGATACAAGCTAATATTAAATCAAGGCAATGAGAATCACCACAAATTAAATTATGATAATGCCTGTACCCTTTCGGTATCCCTCACACAACCTTTTGTTGGTTTTACAACTACATAATCACTTAACCTTTCTAGGGCTTAGCTGTATTTTCACAGTTGGTCGTGTGTGTGTTCCTAACGCACATATTGTTCATGCTAATTGGACAGAGAGAGCGAGGATAGGGAAAGAGCTCTAATCCTTCCAAATGACTGGAGCCATGTTGTCAAGGGCAGGATCCGTCTGTCTGACACAAGAAGAAGAGAGGGAGAGTGAAGCATGAAGGGAAATGGAGTGAAAACGACAGAGCTGCGGATGTACAGGTGTAATGACGCCGGGCTGGGGAAGAATAAAAAGAGTCATGCAGTGTGCCAACTGTGAATGGAAAAGGAGAAAAAAGCCTCAAGTTTCTCTTGGCAGCAGTGGCTCTCATTGAGATTCATTGCTAGATTTAGTGGACAATCCAAGCCACTTTGAAACGCTAGAGCACGCGCCTGACTCTGCATTGCCACCGCCACATTACGACAACAAACAACAGAAAAGAGGAGAAGGCATTCACACACAGCTTTGAAAACAATGCTTTTGATTAGCCAATACGCATCTCTTCCACTGAAGTTATACCAGCAGTCATCTCCATCTCACACTTTAAAAGGGGTTCCTTGAAACCTGCTAAATGCCAGGGAGCGAGGAGGAGAGAGACAGGCTTTCACGGCTCAACTATATATAGCTGCAGCCAAAACATAATCATTACTCTCCCAGCACAATGCACAGAGGAGAGAAGAAAGCAACAGGACCCAGGCGTAACGAGGAGCCACGAAGAGCAGAGCGGAGGATGTGGCAAATGGGAAGAAGTCACAAAGACATTATGGAGAATGAGCAGCACTGTCAAAGCCTTCACTGCAGTCTAGTAATGAACCATGTCTCACAGCACCAACACCAGGTCTAAATCTGCCAAGGACAAATTACTACAAAGAACCAGTGCTATGTGGAAGATTTCAAAACCACTACTGCTCAGAGAGACTTGAGAAAAAGCAGAATAGAGTCAAATAAAGTGTAGGCATTGTCATTCCAATTTTAGACCGAACTAATTAAGTTGTAGTAGTTGTGAGAAGTCACTGATTGAGGGCACAGTAATTACGATCTAATTTTACAGTTCTCTTATTAAATGGAAATTGAGTAAAATAAAATATACAATCGCCAATATTCAAACTAAATGATACCATTTCTAAATGTAATTTTCATGAATATTGCACATCATGAAAAACAGAATTACAGTAGGAGTACCTATAATAATATTAATGGTCCTAGTCATAGTAAAAGCAGAAGTTGTAGTAGTTACTGAAGTAGTAGGTTAACCGTCATTTTGTGTACTTCTTCCACATAAGAGATTGTAAAGCTAAGCATCTACATAAAAAGCCAGTCTATTGTCACCACTGCTCAATCCTATAAACTCCTCTGTCCAGCGTCTCTCTTGTACCTGCTTGCGTAGCTCCTCTGCAGCCCGTCGTGGTGGCAGTCCATTGGAGGCACTGGCCCGGGCTAAGGCCTGTTCCCGGGCGTGTTCCCTGGCCTCGGCCCGTTCACTGCGCTCCCTCAGCAGCGGTGGAGGAGGTGGAGGAGGAGGTGGCAGTTGTGGAGCGGATGAATCCCGACCGTGGGTCCCAGCTTTGGGCCTCGGACTCTCCCTGGTCCCCTTTGCATGGCTGTGGAATACTGCACAGAAAAAGCATAAGACTGGGTTTAGATTAGTGTCACGAATACACCTAAATTGTATTATTTTATCTCTGCAATGGTACGGTGCACACTGCCAATCTTGATAGTGATGACAAAAATCTTATGGTTGAGCTGCTTTGAACTTCCATTTTCTTACACCATTCCTTAAAAATGCATTGTGTAACTTTTTGGTTGTGGGTCCGTCACCTGCCTGTTTCAGTGGATATGTCATTGCCCTGCCTGGAATGTTGAAACTTTTTTTAAAAACAACTTTACCTTACATTAATTCATTTACAGGTGGTTTTACTGCTTGGAAAAAAAAAAAACAAAAAAAAAAAACAGCAGGCATTCTGACTGTAAGCGGGGTCATCTCTCCACAGCTCTGACCTGTAACTTTGCCTGGTTTGGTCTCCATGCAGATAGAAAGGTTTAATGCCATACTGTGAAACATTCCAGACAAATCAATAACATCTCCATGAAGAAAAGCATTTGACGGACCCACTACCAGAAAAGTTGCACCGTAAACCTTTGAAAAGACCTTTTTAAAAATGTTTTGTTCTTCCTATTCAAAATCAGATCACACCCAGACAGTTACTCTTGAGTACCAGTTCCCCCAAATACTTTTCAGTTGAGTAATATGCTGAAGTAGCTCTTCCTTGAGAACAATTTTTGGCTACTCTACCCACCTCTGCACATTGGTCCCCTGTAGTATATAATAGCTCATATAACCATGGCAGCGAACCACAAGACCCAAGTGCACAGCCCACACAAACATTGGAGTGACAAGTTCTGGCCCAGGTACAGCCCCTAATCAGTGAAATATGCATGATTTAAGGTGTGCATGAAGCTCTCTTTGTTCAGCGCATGTCAATAAAGCGGTGTAAAAGTGTCACGAGCTCCAGGGCCCACTGGGATGAGGCTAAGTGAGTCAAACAGCAGCAAAGCAATTACCACATATACTTTCAATGGCTTTTTCAGTTTGGGTTTTATGGCCATTCGTTTCAACAGGGGGCGGGTTGTATGAGAGCACAAGAAATGTACACAGCAGTTTAAATGTAGACACCTCCTAACATGCGAGGCTCCCTTCAACATCCAATCACTGATATTTATTTGCATTTATAAACTATATTAGGCAACAAGGTTTTACAAGGCCAGGCAATTTGGAAAACAAAAATACACAAATTAACTAATGCTAAATTACTAAATTGAAAAATGATCTTTTTTGATAATAGCTGTGAAAAGCTTCTGATGGAGAGCCCACTAATGGCATACAATAATTTAATAATTCTGCAAATTCCTGGACTCATTTTATTTTACTTTACTTTACTTACCGGAAAATACACAAAACATGCATCTTGTATCTTAGGCCATGCATTTCTCTGCATGAGTGCCCTTTCTGTTCAACCATAGCATCGTGTGGTCTCTGTCAGTAAAGAGAAACTAGTGACATTGAGAAGTGTGCAAAGCGAAAACCCAATAAAAGCTGTTAAATTTAACTATGTCAACATGGCAGCCGGCCCGACCAGAGGAGCGGTGGAGCGCTGATGAATGGCGCACAGCAAACCTCCTCACCTCCCCAAATCCTTCCATCTCTCCCATTTTCCCCCTCATCCCCAAGAGCCTGTGTAACCTTCGCACTGGAATCGCCCCAAAAGCATATTTAAGTTTGACACAGATCTTATCCCCATAGAAAGGTGCGTATTTGCCTGATACTCGACGCGGTCTGAGGCCATGGCCAAGTGTGCTAGTCCAGTGTAAACAGTACGTATTCATGTCAGAATCTCTATTGTCCTTTACGTGTCCGTCTACTTATTCTGCTTATCTCTAGGGCGCCGAGCTGCTGTGAAAACACTGGTGGTAAACTAGATAAACTGGGAGACAAGAGGATGTTTAACAGTTGAGATATGAATGTGGACATGGTTTTTAAAAGGCAAGATAATGTGTGTGTATCGAAATGTGCTGGAAGACTTTGAGATACAATTGGCTTACTACAGACCTAATCGCCAAATTAATTATTTACATCTTTGGCTGCTAAACAGAATCTGAATCAAATATACCAACTACCCAATGAATACAAAATAACCTAATTAAAAGTCAAATCAAGTTAAATTTATCTGTGCAGCATTTAAAAACAACCACAGTGCTTAAAGCTGTGTTGGACAACTTTTCTGGTGAAGGATACTTGTCTCCATAGATATGTTGCTTTGCGTTGAGTATTCCATGGTATAACATTAAACATATACAGTACATCTAATGTTTATTTTATTATTGCTCAAACATACAATGATTCCTTCTGTAAATAGGGACGAATCTTCACAAATCTGACTTATAATGTAGCCTAGTGCTGTAACCTTCTTGTCTCCCTCGTGATAGCTTAATCTGTACTGTGGAACATTCTAACCAAAGCAATAACACTTCCATGGAGACAACAGATGGTGGACCCTCCGCTAGAAATGTTACACAGTGCACCTTTAACAAACAACAGTAAAATAACAAGAAAAGCAAACCAATAATAATATATAATAAAATGACTATAATGAAATTGAAAGGTGTGGCAGCTTAGGTGGCGATAAACTTGTGCAAATAGGTGTGTCTTGTGCATGTCCTCAGCAGCCCTACAGCAATAACGCACTCAGGTGCAGATTAACGATTAACAATTCAGATAAACAAAATTCATCTAGGAAGAAAAGACAAAGTGGTGTCAATAAAGGCAATATTCAATCCATAAAGTGAAGCAAAGCCAACCTACAGACATTGTGTGTGGTCATTTCTCTTTATCTGCTGTTTCTTTCTTTCCTCCTCCATATTTGACTCCAGAGGACGACAAAGCACTCACCTTTTGAACTTTTCTAGCGGCAATTTTGTGCAGACTGCAGGGAGGAGGAACCATGGAATGTAGCTCAGGTTTGAAGAGGGAAAATCACTACGGTAACAAGTCTCCATAGTGCAATACGGGGCAGGCCTTTAGCTTACTGTCTGGATGCAAACTGTATGCCTTAAAAGAAGCATTATGCAACTTTTCCTTTTTCTGGAGGAGGGTCTGCCACCTGCTGGTTTCCATGGAGATGTTTTATGGCATCAAGCATTTTCCAAAATTAACAAAAAAAAAAAAGAAAAAAAAAAAAGAAACAGGCCTACATTTAGATATCTGATCACACAAGTACTGTTAAAAAAAAAAAAAAAAAAAAAGGTCACATTTTCAACAATAAAATCCACTGCTTGCTACAGTGAAATGTAAGAGGAGTGGGACCACCAGGAAGTCAATTGATCAGCTTCTATTAATCAATTTTACATCAGTATTGCAGTTTTAAATGAACAAAATGTGAAATTATCTATGCATACTTTAATACTAAATAGAAGAAATAACATCTCCATGGTGACCAGCAGGTGACGGGCCCTCCACCAGAAACCTTACACAGTGCACCTTTAAGTACCCCCCTCTCGCTGCTGTCACGGTCAGCTGCCTCCATGTAATCTCCTAAACTGAGGACGTGCACATTTGCCCCAGGGGTGAACATACGCTGCCTTTGTGTTGTAGTGTGTGTCATAGTGTGTGTGACGAGAGGGCCCGGCCAGCTGTTGTGGGGCATCTACACCTTTGCCGGGGCTTAGCGAGCAAAGTGTTAATTGGGGTTGAAGAAGTGGATGTGCAGCTCAGATGTCCCATGTGACTCTAGTCCAGTCTCAGAGCTCCACAAACAACAGTGTCAACCCAAGAAAGTCTGATGGGAAGATAAGATATTTCCTTTTAAAGGGTCACTACTTGAGTCTAATTTCAGATATTAGTCCTTTCTTTTTACTTTCTCATTGTAGCAGGCAGTACCAGTATACATTCTCATGGATATTATTGTTGAATATTTCTAAAAGATCCATAAGTTGCTCTTTAGATCAGTGTACACCTTTTCAAATTTCAGCAGTTTCTCAGATAAAAGAAATACCACCACACCAAACCTAAAATCACTGACCAAGAACGGAGAGACTATTTAAATGTTTGTAAATTACACTAAGTGCCCATTTCATTCACAAATTACTTTTCCAAATGATTCCCTTGACCTATTCCAAAGTGCCAAACATATTTCAGAAAGGGGAATATTTTCGCAGATTTAAAGGTCATATATTTACGCAAAATTGGCCTTGTTATAATGTTGTTACCTCCTCAAAAACCAAAACACACCTGGAGTTGTGTTTTATTTCATTCAACGCCCTTGTTATTAGTCTGTTTACATCTCCAAAGCTCAAAATGCTCTGTTCCATCTTGTGATGTCATATAATGGCCATTTTCAAGTTAATAACAGTTACCTTTTACCTTTAGTTCAGTAGAGATTGGTAATTTCAGTGCTGAAGTTATCCAAATAATTCTGGTGAAGGTGTTTTCTGTTTGAGGGAAGAACTCAGCCTAAATATGGAGGATGTGTGAATGAAACAAAACACAACTCCAGGTCTGTTTGCGATGAGGAAACAATAAAACATAGCTCAGAAAACAGTGTGATGCGGGCCCTTTAATAACAGATTTGGTGCCCGCAGTCCTTACCATGTCCATTGAGGGGCTGTCTCCCTGGTAGCCGGCCCTTGCGTGGCGTGGAGTGGCAGGAGGAGGAGGCGGAGGCGTTGTCAGACTGTAGCCCGCTCCTCTGCTCCTCCTCTTCCTCCTGCTCCTCTTCCTCCAGGTCATCCTCCTCCTGAGAGCTGCCGAAGTAGGCCATGTTACTGGGCAGAGCCGATGAGCCTGAGCACACACATGAATAATGAAGAGAGAAAACGTGAGATGTAAGCCCTGAAAACATTCAACAATTACTTATTTAGTTTGGAAATTCCATAGAGAGCGCCTGTATATGGCAGAACTTGTACAATATTTATGCTTTTATAGTAATGCATAACAAACAGTGAAGGTAAACAGCAAATCTGGACTGAAGTAAAAGTGCAAAAGTTATGAAATACAAAGGAAATGAAAGCAAATACTACGATACTGTTGCACCGCCACTACAATAACTACTACTACTACAATTAATCTAGAACTTATAAAAAACAACAAAATGATCCTTGTAACTTTAATTCAAATCTGAGGACTTTGATGAAGTATACAATTATTCTTGTCACAAAAAATGATTTAAATAACAATAAAAGTATGCACGAATTGGAACACACACTACAACAGAGCTGCTTTTTACTGTATTAAAGGTACACTGCGTAACTTTTCTGCTGGAAGGTGTGCAACCTTTTTGTCGCCACAGAGATTTCTTTGCCTTCAATATTCTACTGTGCCTCATTAAACTAATCTAGCGTGCATAGATCTGACCAATAAATTGTCCTGGTGTTTGTCTTCACTGAGATAAGATAAGTTTAATGACACACTGTGGAACAGGACACTCCACCAGAAAAGTTACACAGTGCACCTTTGAAATTGTACGTCACGAAAATGCAAATAGTGTGGAGAAACGCCTCTGAAAAACTAGTTGTTAAGCATTGTAAACTACTAATCAACACCGCGTTGCTATTATTAAGCATAATAATGTCAATAAACTGTTTTGTAAGGGGAGTGTTCTGAGCTGCCTTAACCTCAGTTGACTTTTCAGCCATGTTCTGCTCTGCAAGGTTTGAAGTGAGGCCCCAGAAAGCAAAATCCTTCTTGTTTTGGTGAGAAAAAAGAAAGGTACGATTAAATTCAGGGAGTCGGTAACAGCCCTCCTCTGCTCGGAGCTTTTTGTTGACAGTTTTATTGAGATTTATACACTGTACAAGAGCTCAAATGTCTTAACACTGTGAAGGAGTTTTTAGTATCCAAAATACTCTCTCCCCTTCTCTCTGGTGGCTAATCCCAAATCTGTCTTCTTCACTTCTCCAAACAGGATTACTGTCAATTTCAAACGCAGAAAATTTGACATCCCTTTCCCTTTTCCTCCTCTGTCACACTCAATCGCTCACTTTGTCATCTTGGAAAAATCTGGTTCAATACGTACCATAAGAAGCGAAATGTTGTTTGGCAGCGGATAGCCTGTAATGTTAGCTTGGTTAGCAGGATGGAGCCGCACACTCGCACTCATAAAAGGGTCATAAAGCCCAAAGCCATGTTATTAAATCTGATAATGTTGCACTCGTAAATCAGCGTGCAAACAGCTGGCCCTCTCACACAGACAAAAGTACTGCAGTGACTGGCACCATACAGTTTGTACTGGCGAGGGAGTAGCGAGGAAATCACTGCTGCGTTGCTGTGAGGGCATGCAGGGGCTAAAGAAAATATACACCCAGGAGTGAGACTGAGACACCTATTAAGCTTCAACCATTTAAATAAATAATATAATTAAAAACTACATTCAAGGAAATTGAATAAGCTAACCACTAATTTTAATGCTGTAGCCTTTTCTGGAAGTAACACAAGACAATGACTTGATTTAAAAGGTGCACGGTGTAACTTTTCTGGTGGAAGTTGGGTCACCTGCTTTTCTCCGTGAAGATGTTATTGCTTTCTCTGAGATGTTTCACAGTATGATTTTGAACCTTTCTATAATCATGACCAAACCAGTCCAAGTTACTGGTCAGATCTGTGGAGAGGCAACCCTGCTCACAGTCAAAATGCCTGTTTTTCTAGGTATTTTTGAGTAATAAAACCAACTAGAGTACATGTAAGGTAGATCTGTTTAATGTCATAATGTGGAATATTCGAAGCAAAGCAACGACATATCCACAGAAACAAGAAGGTGACTGACCCCCACCGAAAAGTTACATACTGCACCTTTAAGTCTGATAACCCTCATGGATAAAAATGTAAGATATAGAAGAGTAGGAGGAAGATTTAGCCCCATTATTTAATTATCCTCCTTGTTATAACGCACTAACTATGGTCTATCTCTGATCTGCACACAAGCTAAAGATAAGTTTTTCTGACTTGTTAAATTGTTAGCTTTCATCTCCTCCAAAGTGATAGTGTGTGATATAATGTAATGTAGATAGTATTTTGGCTTGGATCACACTTTCCTTTCAGCAGCTCTGCCACTTCCTAATTACCTCCTCAGAGAGACAAAACGAGCAGATCAGCAGATTCTGCAGACACAGAGTACCTGCACTTTTTGAAAAGAGGTCTTAAGGGCTTGGAGCTTTAGATAATCATCTTTTAAACGTGAATGAAGGACGCTAATGTAACAGTCCAGTCCATTTTGCAGTTTACTAAAATTAGAACCACCACAGTTCTTTCAATCCAACATTTAGCATCCAAAAGGGACACACAATAAATGCTGATCTCAAAAAATTATTGTTGTATCACTGAAGTAGACATAATAATTATCAAGATAGGCCAAATGTATTGAATAAACCATTGCAGCATTTGCCTTTACAAACACCTTTTCAAAGGCCAAACAAGCAGCACTTAGACTCCCTGGCCCCCTCGGCTCCTAATGACCTGCTTCATCAGTGTTAAAGCTGTAATGTAGTGTCCCCAACAAGGGTCAGGGGGGCAATGACAAGCAGGCCGCTGGGGCATCTGAGTGGACGGTCAAATGAGACGTGCACTGGTCAAGCACAAACACATTAGAGAAACTTAAATAACTAAGGATCTAGTGACAGAAGTCAAATCAGGATACAGACTTTATAAAGGTCATTCCAAACCGAATTAATGCTTGTTGAGAGCCATTTCATCAGAATTTTCGTGCTGTAGCCAACAAAAATAAATGGTTAGATCTGTTTGTATTCACATGTAAATGCAGCTTCAGTTCAACAGTAACATACATATTTTTTTAACCTTTATGTTAAATAAAGGAAAGTCCCGTTGAGATTCAGATATGTCTTTGTAAAGGGAGTCCTGGCCAAAACCGCAACTCATAGACAAAATATTTCATTTGTTATAAAGACAGTTAATTATAAAAACAGACAATCCATAATGTACACAATCAGAAGTAATGACAGGTCCATGATTGCATTTCCAGACCTTTTAGAAGGGTGTCAAAATGAGCCATAGGGACAAGATTTTGAAGTTTTCTGTAACGAATTCCAATCTGTAAGCACACCATACTTATAGTCTGTTAAGTAATGTACAAGCTACAAAATCTATCCCCAATTTTTTCTGATTAGACGACCAGTTCAATACGAAATACAAATGGGTTTCTTGGTTCACTGTTGACCACAACCATCTCAACCGTAAGTCCATCTCTCACACTGGATCGTTCTGCAGCGACGAAGAAAAAACAAGATCTCCAACAGGGCTCACGTCCAATCCCCCAATTACTCTGGCGTTTTATCCACCTCATTCCAACCACAGACAAATCATGATTAGGCCTGAAAGAGTCTATTAGGATTGTCATTTTTAACCGGGCTCGCGGCTGGGAGGGGGCATAATTACTAACCCGCAATTCTCTGACTACCCTTCCTTTGTTTCAGTTCCTGTTAAGAAGACAATGAGGACGATTTAAATAGTCAATCAGGACAGTTGAGTCGCTGTGGGGACCAGTGGACGTGCGGACTTGGAGCAGTAAGTGGGTGTGCTGTTTACAGGGAAGGTCAACAGTGACAAATGGAAGTTGTTTTTGGCATTGAGGAATAAAGTTATCTACGAAGAATGAGCTCTGCCAAAACTCCTCATCGTGCACTTGAGGGGAAAAGACAAAAAGAGAAAAAGCATTGGAAACTTGTATTGACTGAGCTAGAAGAATGAACCTGACAAACAACAAGCTGTGCTGTCAGAGGAGGATACAGAATTAGCTGGTATTGTCTGTCTGCACAATATTGTCTGCTTTGAGAAAGGCACCAACTGTTAATCACATCCCAACAGTACATTACAACTACAGACAATGTGGTGTCCTTGAGGAACAGTGGTCAAAGCAGCAGTGCACTTACTGTACATCGCAATTAAGACTCACTCCCAGGAGTCAAAACATGGCTGCTGTTAAGCCTATAGACAAGACTATCTAAAGGTTTCAAACAAAAGCAGTGCAAGCTTCTCTCTGATGTGAATGCGAATGCTCCTGGAAGATTTTTTTTTTCTTTTCGTGTGAACTGTGAACTGAATCCTGATTGAAAACAGACATCATTCACAAATAGAATCAGGAATACAAAAACTCAGCAGAAAAAAATTGCAGAGACTTTCTTCTTACAGCCATATAGCTTGAAACTATCCAAGTCAAATTTCAAGTGATTTTAGTAGTTCAAGTTTTCCTGTTTTTTGGAGGCATGGGGCTTGTACAATGATAACAAACAGTATGGAACCAGAGGCTGTATTCGCTTTTTTGTGATTGAAAAGTGTTGGAGACAAAACTAAATTGAAATCCTAGGATTTTTCCCCTAAAGCTGTTGAGACTCAAAATTGCTTATTATTGCTTTATGGTAAATTTCCACTTTGCATCTAGTAACAAAATCCACCAATCTGGCAACAAAAAAAAAAACAACAAAACACTATCTGAAGTGTATTTTCCAACTCAGGGAGCCCGTTCTGTTGTGCCAGTGCAAGTCTGGCATGTGTAATAGTTGTGATGAATCCACTGCCCGGTTCAGTGGGTCGACTCTGGGGTTATGTAAGCCCACAGCACTGCACTCTGTGACCTGCAGTGTGCTAGAGCTGGCAGCGTCACAGGTCGAAGGTCAACACTACAGCGACACACACTGGCACCAGGAGCTGCTCTCGGGGAAATTACATAAAGTAGTAATTTCTAAGAGCGTGTGTACAGAGGGTCATTCATTTAGTCCTAATCGCTTCATAGCTTTACACAGTGTAGCCAGCTGCCCTCCGCTAGTGCACAGGCCAAAAGCGTCATGAGCGTCTGTTTTTACAGTATTTAAAGCAGATTCATTTGTTTTACAGACACAAGATAGAAAATACATTTTAAAACTGTACTATTTATACTATAAATCAGATTTGTGATGTCATTGTTTTACCTTTATCTAGCTTTAATTCATTCTGCATCTTTCTATTGCTCAAAAATAGATGACTTCCTTCTGTGAGTTGGAGCATCTCGCCACAGATCTGAATTGTAATGTAGCCACTGTTACGCAGTGCACCTTTCACGTTATCCAATAATATTCAAAACTTAAAATTTTAATGTTTATCAGGGAATAATTGACTCACGCTCAAAATCTAGTGTATTATGTGCTAGTGTCAAGCCTGGATAAAGAGACTGAATTATAGAGATTGAACATCAAAAACTTAAGAGATGTGCCAATTACGTATAGAGCTAACAAAAGTAATGTAATAATGCAATAAGATATATGAGACAAGGTAAAAGATGAGATGTATTCTACTTCAGAACACTTTTGAGACACTCCATCTAACTGAAAATCCTCTGATAACACGATCTTTAGTTCTGTACAGGAGTTGGAATTAAAAAAACGACAGTCAAGGTTCCCACTAGGACGAAGGTTGTGAACAAATTGCTAAAGTACGCTGACAGATTATCCATTTCCACTCTCAGTCCGGCTCAGTGCTGCCCCCTCCCTGCCCCTTCCTGCTCTACACGCCACAGGTTTCCAGAGGCAGACAGTCTGGCTTCTGCCCAAATGGCTTTCTCCATGGATATAAACAAGCCCACTGCAGCGCTGGCCCTCACATAAACAGCATTCAGAGGACACCAGAGTCTGTGCCAGTGTGTGTCTGGAGATGTGTACTTAGATACACACACACGCACACACACACACACACACACATACACACACAGACAAGAGTGTGGGTGGCGAGAGAGCATGGTCCTCAGCTTTCAATACAGACAACTCAAATCTTGTTTATAACTTCTCCATCCGCTGGCTTGCTACCATGTTACATCAGAATTATCTGGCAACTCAACCCCCCACAGAGATGAGGGAATTAAAAATAACTTTTCCTTGGATAGAACTGCAGCAAAACCCCAGTGAGCCAATTTATTAGTAAGAAATGTGGCAATTACAAGCGTGGAATGAAAAGCAATAAGCAGCATGATGGAAATTTTGTCACGATTTTACAGCTGAGTGAGGATAAAGACATTTGTTTCACCATTGAAAAGTGTTTTGAAATATTTTTGAGTGAAGTTACAACTGAAAGGCAAGTTCTTTGTGTGTAATGTTTGCCAGATAAGGCCTGCAAATAGCGAAGTGGGTGGGGTGTAGGTCTGTTTACACTTGCTGAACGTTTGACCCTGAACCATTAAAACCATTGAAACCAGTGGGCAATATACAAAATAGATTGATATGCTTTGGTGACTCTTTCAAATCGGTGAGTGAAAGATCCAACTGAACAGACTTCAGTTAAACAGAAAAGGTCTGGAGATTGAACCCATCGCTTTCTTGTTACAGGGCAGAGGAGCCAACTACTTAACCACAGCCCCACATGAATAAAAAGCAATAACTTCATATTTTCACACAGACTTTTGATTAATAGAACCATGCAGGCTCATATCCCTAGATTTCTTATCAGCTTTCTCAGTTGATTAATTTCTTTAATATCTTTTACTTGCTACAAAAATCCAGTGGAAGTAGTTTGCTGTGGCCAGTGCGTTTAATGTATGTGGTAAGCTCAGTTCAGAGACATCCTATAGACCACAGTGTTAAAGCGGATATGGCTTCTGACTATATCAAAGACTGCAGTCCTTTTGAAAAGCTTATCCAGGGCTGACACTGATGTCCTCAAATATCCTGCATCTGTACACACACGATGGGAGGGTCCGGGCGGGAGATAAGCTGCCAACAACAGGGTGGGAGGGGTGTGTGTGTGTACACGGGGGTGTGTTTGTGTATGTGTGTAGGGACGTTTTGAACAGACAACCTCCAGGCTGCTCTGACCTTCTCCTCTGCCTCTGTCCAGCTAAGGGTCTCCACATATGGGTCATGTGAGAGGCCACGGGGGGAAAGGGAGCAACAGCAGCCAAGCCCAGGAAAATGTCATCCTCACAGCGTGGATAGAAGATCCATTTACACACAAACAGAGCGTCTAAACCGCGGCTATAAATAAAGTGGAGCTCGTAATAGCAGAGTGGACAAGCCAAGTGGAAAGTGTTTCTGCCAGACAACAGAATGTTTGTAGAATTTATAGTGAGCAAGTTCAACAAGTGTCATGAACTAAAGTTACACATTATAGATTCCGGGTGAGCCATATATTGAATTAAAATGTGTACAGAAATTACTGTTTTGATTAGATTACATTAAAATATGAAGTAAATAGTCTATTATAATAACACTTCTAAAAAGCACTAATTGGCGTAATGTTAAAGCCAAGCATATTAAATGTTATTTGTGGACTTTTTAGTTTTACATTCCCACGGTTTGCAAATATATTCTTACGGTTTCTACTAATATTTACATGCTGTACAACAATAGACTGCATAAACAAATGGACTAAGGGAGTTTGATGTCACCCGTAGCGTCCGGCTCCAGTCAAACGAAGCTCAAGTGGCTAGCAGCTAGAGCGAATTTGGAGCCATTTCCATATTAGGTATAGGAATTTATTTTCTGGACAAAACAGAGAAATAAAAACACCAGGGTCATGTAGAGCAGGTTAATACAAGCATTTTAAGACGAAACTGACAAGGCTGACAGGAGAGAGAGTTACGGAGAGAGGGGGCGGCAATTTTTCAATGTGAAGTCAACTGGAGCCAGAGTTGATGGAGCCGAAAACGCGCCTACTCTCACTTTCTATTTGGTACACGATGGTTAGCTGGTTGGCTATGTCCATTTACATATACAGTTTATGAGTACAAAACCCATGTACCAGAAAGACGGTGAGGCTATAATTAGACGAGAGTGTTCAGCGCATCAAAACTGAGAACTTCTTTCACATTCAAAACGTGATCCGAAACTAAACTGCTAAAATCCCTATAATATTCACTATGTATCCCAAAATTGCAATTCTTGTTCACACAATCAAAGCAAACTAACGATGCTAGCGCAACATGTCACTCTAAGCTGTTAATTACTGAACTCGAGCTTTTGCAGTTCATTTGAAATCGAAGGTGCGACCAAATGGCAACGAACCTGAGTAGCATCGTCTGTGGAGCGGAGGGAGCAGATTGGACCGGAGCAGCTGCAGCCGGTGATAGGCAGAGTGTTAAAGAGACTGGGAGTTGTTGAAAGGTACGAGGGCGAGATGTGTAAGCTGATGAAATACAGGATAATCTTAGCCCTGGGCAAGTACACAGTTATTTGTAGTAAGAGTGAGCGTTACAAGAAGGGGCTGTGAGGAGCAGGAGCAGAAGGGAGGGCAAAATATAGACTTACAATAAGCTAAGGGTATTTTGTGTTCAAATTGAATACTTATATGACTTATTATAGAAATGAACTTGAAGTTGAAAGTTATTTTGATGAAGGTGATGTCTGATGAGTCATTAGCTGTACTCAGTTTGTACACACTATTGCAAGATATACTGTAGTACTTTGTGGTTCACTATGTCAGAATTTGTTTTGTATCGCATGTGACAACTGCTGTTAAAATAAAGTTTGAAAAGTGCAAATAAATTTGCAGTGCTGCGAATAAAAATAACTTTGTATTTGCTTTCCAATAAACCATCTCCCAAATTAGCCAAGAAACAGCAATCACGACAGACACATATTACTTCAACTTTAAGCTTTGTAGCAAGCAAATGAAACCCCATCTACCAGAATTACCACCTACAACTCTCACACAAACAAGCATGTCTCCAGGATATAGACACAGGTTTATGTATTAAATAACTCCAGTCTGTGTTTTACCTCGGAGACAGAGGAAGGTGAGGAAGTCCTCGGTCTTGGGCTTGCGGCGGGACAGGTCCTGGATGGACGAGGACAGAGACGAGAGGGACGAGGACAGGCCAGTGTTCAAGTTGGAGTCGGACACTTTGACTGGAGTGGTGCTGGGGGAGTTGGGCTGCGACTGCGCAAACTTCCTCTGAGCGTGAAGCCGTGGCCTGAAAGAGGAATGAGATAAAGTTCGTCAAGTGAATTTTACTTGACTATACACAGCATTTAGTTTAGACTTTCATGTGTTTTCTGGTGTGACTGAAACAAGATCATTAATTTAAAGCTGCACTGTAACTGTTCTGGTTGAGTGTCTCCCACTTCTCTCCATGGAGATGTTATTGCTTTGCCTGGAATGTTTCACAATATGGCATACAATTTGCCCATCTCCACGGAGACAAGCAGGTTGATGCCACCAGGCCAAGTTACTGGTAAAATCTGTGGAGAGGCTAAGAGTGAGAATGCAAGTTTTTCAAGGTAATATATCAATGTCACTGACAAAAAATGCTAGATAGATGATAAAGATAGATAAGTTTAATACCATACTGTGGAATCCCTGACAAAACCAAAAAGGATATATACATGTATTTAAAATGAAGAACTCAAATATGCAACATTTTCAACTTTTCAAATAACAAAAACAACATTTCAGAAATCATTTTGACAAAGCAATCGCTGTAGCTACTTGGACAGGAAATCATGCTTCACTGTCAAGTCTTAAGTCTACCTTTGTCAGACATTTACCATACGACACCATCTCACAAACAGCAGCCATGAAAGTACGAGACTGTCACCTGACCCGCGGCCTTAATCGATTAGTGAAGCCGCATGAGCGTGAGAGCCGTAAATGTTGAGGGATAGCGGCAAAAGAAATGTGATATCCTGGTATTATTTGGTATTATTTGTCAATTTGCTGCGGTGCACACTGAAGCGAGGCCAAGATGGGATCATGTCTGGAGAATACCCACAATGCATTTGGTGCAGAGACTGGAAGGTGCAGAGGTGTGATTACACTTCAATCATAGAACAGTGCTGATGTCAAAACGTGTCAATTTTCTGCCGTAACATGGCTCTGAGCGCAATATGGAGGACATAGACTCAATCACACCTGGGGAAGTGTGAGGAGAATTCACATGGGGCCTATGTTTACCACAAACTTTAAATAGAGCACGAGACTGTTGAAATGTGTACTTAACGTTTAGTTTCTCAACTAACTTGTGAATACTTACTGTAAACATAGAAGTGGCCTAAATAAGTTATGTTTGATGAAGTTCTATAGTTATAATTGTGCGTTCAATAGTAGCATCATTAGTTGTACTCAGTTTGACACTATTGTAAGATATACTGTAGTAATGTGTGACTCAGGAAATGTGTGACAACTGCACTTAAAATAAATAAAAAAGTTGCAAATAAAATTGGTAGAGTTAAAATAAAACAAAATTGTGTTTTCAATATACAAACTTCAAAATTAGCACAGCAACAGCAGCCGCTACAAACAGCACATATTTCGTCAACTTTAGCAAGCAAATGAATCCCCAACTACAAGAACTTGCTAACTCTGCCATGTTATTTATTCATGGGTTTCAGATTCTCGTTATATTCAACATTTTAAGGACTTTTTCCATTTAAAAGATGCAATATTTAGTTTTGAATTGTTAATCACTATGGTACTATACAAATTTTCATCACTCTAAAAAACATGGATACTGACTAAACTCTAAACAATTGCAAATGAAATTGTATCAGTAGCAGTAGTGCATATTTCACTTACCAGAGCTGGACCTGAATTGGGGATTTCCTATATTTCAGCTGAACATAGTTAATGCGCTGAGCCAAAAAACTGTCACTTTTTCAGTTTAAGTGTATCCATAACCTTGCTGATGGGGTTAAAAAAGCGATGCTATATATACATAGCCCAGAAGCAGTCTGTCAAGAGTCTATGTGAACGGATAGTAAGAACTGTCAAATCTAAGTTTTAAATCATAAAAATCTATAATTTCCTCAACATTAGGATACTGCAGAAGAAGAAGATTCAATGTGATACTGATATACAGATGTTCATTCAGTACTTATTTGGTAAGACAAACTAGGGACAGATGGGAAAGCACAGAGGATTGTATCAGAGCTGGAATAAAACAAATTGTGCGAAACAGAAGGCTGACAGACTTCATCACAGAGACATAGTGAAGAAACAAAACTAATTTCATATTCAAAGCACTCAATGTGTGAATCTAAGAGGTGCAGTTTTAGACAATCCTCCTTGTTCTTCAGCCCAGACTGTAACACAAGCACATACACCGGATATTCAAAACCATACAGCCATTTATTTGAAACTGGCTCCTGATGTGTCTTCTCTGAGTGCACGGTAAAACCCAGAAGGGCTCAGGCTGCTATAGAGATGCAGACCACAGCAGCATTGTCTGACAGAGGGAGAGATGAAGAAGTATGAGGCCACAAAGTGAGATGGAGTGACTGGAAGGAGGAGAGAGAAGAGAGGGCCTGGGAGAGCAGAAAGCATGGAGGATTGAGAAAGTGCAAAGAAAAGGAAGGACAGTACAGAAAATTACAAGGACGCCTACAGGTCACATGAATGTATGGCTAGGCAACAGGAAAAAGCAAAAAACATGTACTGACTGATCAATTCTTTATTTAATTCCACTCAAACAATTTCCTGAACAAGGACAATGCACACACAATCACTGCCAAAAAAAAAGAGTCAAATTTCTTCCTTTAAAGTCTAAACTCTGCTACAAAACACATGCTTTTACTGACAGAGAATTGGCTGTGGAGCGCACAATCAGAAACACCCAAGCATATCTGACAGTTTAAAATGAGTGAATTTTTATCTTGATTAAAATTTGATTAATTGCAAAGCTGTTCTTGAATGTATTCCCAGTATCTACAGCCATAGATTACAGTGAAGATTGAAAAACTGAAATCAAGAAGTGATCATAAGAAATACTAAGCAGATACCTGTATTTGATAGAGGGTTAAGTGCAGCCTCATTACTCTAAAATCTGGTAGGAATCAAAAGTATTACGGTTTTCTCCACAGCAGTACTCGGCGTTTGATTGGACATAAAAGTATGATCAGGATCCAAGCACGCATCTGCTTTCTGTTACACGGCGCACCTGAACAAACATGGCTGCCAGAAACGTTAGTTTCTTTTAAGGTTTTGGTTTGTGTCACCGCATGACTTCAAATCAATCAATCTTTATTTTTTTTAGATACAATCAGAATTACAGTCAAACTTGAAGTAACTCATCAAGGATAATTTGACTTTTCAGCTTAGTGCCCTTTAAAATTATATTAGGAAGAAATTTGAAAGAAGAACTCAGCCTAAATATGTAGAATGTGCGCGTCAAACATGTGTGAATGAAACAAAACAACTGCAGGTATGTTTTTGATGAGGAAAAAACATTATAACACAGATCAAAAAGTAGCATAATATAGGCCCTTTAAATGGACTTGTGAGACAAACCTTTTCTTTGGCTAATTTGTAATGGAAATTTTATTTTCAAATCCAGTTTCCACCATTTATATACCAAGGACAGAAGTGTTATTTGAATGAGTATGTTCACAAAGCAGTTTCAGTACATTAAATGCATTTCTGCCCAGGTGGCAGTGAATAAAGCTGAATGGCTAATGGGGGAGATGAGGTGACAAATATAAAAGGAAGTATGGGCCTATAGAGCAGGTATAAAAGAGACGACTGCATAATACCACTTCCTGTCTCAGTATTGAACACATTAGGTACTCTGAGATTGTCCTGTCATTTGTTAACCCATTACCCAGAGTCAAAGAGAAATAACCAGAAAAAATATTATATGTTGTTTCAACTCAGCATGCATATTTAATTCACTGCAGTTATATAACGATGCCACAGCCTTCAAATCACTATTACATTGAGGTTTATGTCAATATTGTAGGTAGGTGTGTTTATTAAAAGGTCCTATATTATACAAAATTGACTCTTAGCTTCAAACCATGTTATAATGTTATTTCTGCATTAAAAACATATCCAGACTTGTGTTTTCTTTCTTTCACACATGTTTAAGTAATCCCGTTTTACTGGGCTGTCTACATCTCTAAAGCTCAAAATGCTCTGTTCCACCTCATGATGTCATGAAACAATAGTTTTGAAGTTAACATCTACCTTTAACATTTAGTTCAGTAGAGATTAGGGGCATGCAGAAATATTGATATATCGTGTAGTTTAATGTGATGATACAGTATCATTATCGTGGGCTGCTGTATCGATATATTGCCAAGAGTTTTTCTTTTTGGTAGATTTGACAAAATTATTTTGTTATAGCGCTACAGTTTTGTTTCTTGTTCAGAGGAAGGAAACTTGTTTATGCAAAGCATTTCACATTTTCACTATTTTAATTATTCAAATAGGTGTGTTTCATATTAACTTGGCTCAAGGTGTGGTTTAATTTAAGACTTTAGTATCAAAGCCATGATTTAGAAATGATTTTTTATTGAACGTATCAAATAAATTTTGAAAAATATCGTATCAAATCAAAAGCTCATTGCATCGATATATGTATCATATCGTGGCCTATGTATCGAGGCATGTATCGTATCGGCAAGTTCTTAATAATACCCAGCCCTAGTAGAGATTGGGCCCAAATCATCCAAATGAATCTAATGAAGGCATGTGGACTTTAAAAACACAATAAAGCACTTCCTGTTTTACCACATGACATCACAAAGTGGAACAGAGTATTTTCAGGTTGGGAGAAGAACTCAGCCTAAATATGCAGGATTTCAGTGTGAATGAAACAAAACAACTCTGGGTATGTTTGTGACGAGGAAAGAACATTATGAGATATATCAGAAAATAGTGTCGTAATATAGGCCGTTTAATAACCAAGGAGATATGGGCCTTATTTAGTAACAGAAACCACGGTTTTAAAAGCAGATGTCAAGGCAAAATTTACAGCTGTGACACTTTTTGAGAGCTCTAGAAAATTGTGCCATGAAAAAACAATCACAGAAACACTTGTCAAGCAAATGTAACTGCTTTCTTTTGAAATTAGGCATTGTCCCAAAGGATTTGCAAATGTGCCAACTCTAGGTCGCACTGTTTTATATAGAACAGATGAGAGAGAAAAAAAAAAAAAAAAAAAAAGAGGACATACTGGCAACGATAACACAATTAGTT